TCCTTGTATAGCTCCATAAAGGTACTCACACTTTGCTTGCATCACTCACTTGTTAATGCTTTGTGTCTGGCATCTTTCGCCAGTTCTCACTTGTGTTGTGTGTTTCTTTCCCGGTCTCATCAGGGCATCCTCGGCTTAGAGTCAATACTACAACACTTGTTTTCCACTTCACATTTGCTTTGTCGACAAAAACGAGCTGATGGGAAGTTAGAGAAGAGCTTTGTGCCGTCCATGGTGTATTGATTTGATTTTACAGGTGCTGAGTGAGACCCTTTTTTTTTTGTTTTCTCTCATTTCTGTTTATGACGGTTAGTTATTGTCAAACTTTGATTATAAACTGTATTATATATCATTTTGTTGGCTTATGATTATCATTTTAAGATCAACAAAAATTTTCCTAGTGATCTGACAGTTAATGAAGTTAACAAAAAGAAACATGAATGTTTTTTATTGGCTTATAAATCAATTTTGTCATCCGATGTGTTCATGTTTTCACAACAACAGAAAGCTGCACTCTTCTCCCTTACTAGGCTCTTTGACTGCATCCACAAGGGTTATTTTTGTCAAACTGAAATCATAATATGTTATTTTCCTAAATTAATCCATGGAAGAGAAAGAAAGGAAGAAAAAACTCAATACCTGGAGACACAAACAAAAGAGAAATCTCTTACTTAAAGCCACGAAATGCTAATTGATGTTTTTTAATAATGCAATTCAAAACGGCCAATTATATGTATCATCGAATTGTAGCGATTAGAGATATAGAAAGCAAAATGATCTGTATTACTACCGTCTTCCATATGTCAGTGTCTAGGACTCATAATGTTTGTTTGTTGTCAACAATTATTGTGATTTAAATAGGCCTGGGCCAAATAAACGTGGACTCAATTCTCAATATGGGCTAATAATAATGATATTCTTATCATTAAACAAAAAAAAAAAACAATAAAGGAAAAGAATGTCCTAAAGAAGTCATTGAGATGTCGGAAACATCAACAGATTATAATACAGAGAGAGATCGAAATTCTTCTTCTTAAGAAAAAAGACTCAGAAACTTGTTGTCAAAATTTGGAAGATGAAGGACAGAGAGGAATCATCATCGTCTAGTTCTTCAATGACAACAACAACAACAAACAACCCTAATGGAATCATCAACAACGGCGAACACGAACCTCGAGATATCAACATCCGATCATTCTCTTCTGTTCCTTCTTCTCCTCGTAACGCTTCTTCCAAATACGATTTCGTCAAGGTTCGATTTTTCTTTCAATTTTTTCAATTCTCTTCTTTTTAAAGTTTCTGATTTTTCTTATCAACGACTTTTAGGTGAAGGTATGGCTTGGAGACAACGCCGATCACTACTATGTTCTGTCTCGCTTCTTAGTTTGTAGAATGTTAACTGTTACTAAGGTTTGTTCTATTTTTGACATCTAAACACATTCTTCAGGTTCTAAGATTTTAGCACTGAATGATTCTTCAATAACATTGGTTACAATATTTGCCGATTTTGATTCAGATCCCAAATCACGAGGCTATAAAGATTTCTCTTGAACTCAAGAAGCTTCTAATTGACAACAGTCTTCTTGATGTGTATGCCCATTTTCGTCTTCTTCTTCTTTTTGATTCAATTTACATAATCTTGATGTTTGTTTGTAACATTATTTGCTTTGTCTCTTTTTGCAGCTCTCAGTCTGATTTAGAAACCAATTTGTTTAAGGTACACACTTCATATCTCTTATCTTATGAACATTGAAGTAATCTGTTAATGGTTGAAATTTGCAGCTAATGGAGCGACGTGGTTATGGAGAAGAATACATAAATCGTTACAACATGATGACAAAGTAAAACGCTTTATGATATTTTACTTGTTTGAAAATCTTTTCTCAAAGTTCATATTTTTGATTTTATAGTTTTGGTTTTTAGATTTCATCATCAAAGAGTACCTCTTGTCATACTTGTTTGCGGAACAGCTTGTGTTGGCAAGTCCACAATTGCTACACAACTTGCTCAGAGACTAAACTTGCCTAACGTCTTACAAGTAACTTGCTCATAAACCCTTCTTCATCTGTTTCTTCTCATTTTTTTCATGTTTGTTAAGTTCTCTTTGTTACACAGACAGACATGGTATATGAGCTGCTTCGAACAGCAACTGAGTATGTTTTTCTCTTTTTTAGTTATGTACATTGTTATCCTCTAGTCTAAGAGTTACAAGATTATAGAGGAGCGCATAAACACGTTTATTTCTGTTTAATGTAGTGCTCCGTTAACATCAACCCCTGTATGGACTCGAGAATTCGGCTCATCAGAAGAGTTGATTACTGAATTCTGTAGAGAATGCAGAATTGTTCGAAAAGGTACTTCCTTTTGGTATTGGAAACTGTAAGATTGTTAATTTGTTTTCATTTTGTGTTTGTTGATTGTTACTCTCTTTATTCTTTTTTCTTTGTGTTTTGACAATACTCAATGGCTTGTGGTTTGTGTAGGACTTGGTGGTGATTTAAAGAAAGCAATGAAAGATGGGAAACCCATTATAATTGAGGTATATTGTTTGTGAAGGCTCTATACCCACTAGATTATATTTTGGCAATTACATTTGTTTTCTAATATTGGTCGAGTAATCACAGGGAAGACATTTAGATCCAAGCATATACTTAATGAATGATGAGAACAAAACTCCATCAAATGATACCGAGAAGAACAGTAGCGAAACAAACTCTTCAAGAGAGTTAACCTCGGACAAGAATCTCGAGGCAGGGTCTTCAAACACGAAAGAAAGCGACAATAGTGCTGTGAAACCCGATTCTCAGGATGTAGCCGTGGCATCTGTAGAAGCTATCGACTTATCAGAAAAAGTTACACAATGTAAAATCAACGGTAAGTATTTTCAGCATAACCTTTTTCTTCTTATGCAAATTCTTGCATTTTCTTCTGTATGATTGTATAGTTCTATTTCGTTTCGTGTGTGTGCAGCTGAAAGTTCAAAAGATGCTGAGAAGAAAAGCAAATCTGCAGATGGAAGTGGAAAAACGAAATCTGGCCCCGAACCAATAGTCATATCTATTGTTTTAAAGATGTCTGAATTCGATCATAAGGTGATTCAAAATTTGTTTCTTTCAAGCTATATAACTCGAAAAGTAGTGTTTCTCACTTCTTTATTTTGTTAATCTCATTTTCTCAGGCTTTGCTAGAGGAGTGGATCTCTTCCCGTACATCTGGAGAGAAATATACATCTAAGGTATTAAACAACCTGAAGCTTAAAAAGAAAACTAAACTGATCTTGAAAGTTGCATGAACACATGTTTGGCTTTTCTTTTTTTGCAGGAGAAAGATAGACTAATTACAAACCTAAAGACCATTGAAGACTACCTTTGTTCCTTCAATTCACAGGTTTGTTGGGTCCTTGATCACTCAAAAATTTCTTTCTCAGGTTTTACGGTTCTAACATTGCTTATTTGTGAATCAGGGAGTGACTGTTGTAAATATTTCGGCCACCACATTCCCGCAGACACTAGATTCGCTTCACAACTATCTTCTTCAGGTAAGAAAAAGTCAGCATATTCAAAGCTTCGAAAGTCTAAATGATCTCAACAGAAAGAAACAGTAACCAAAATCTTTGTGTGTGTTGTAGCGTATTGAGGAAGGGATTCGATCATCAGAGAATGAGGGGCCAAAGTGACGCATGCAGAAGAAGTCTTAAGGAGGCTAGAGTCATCTTCTCTAAATGCCTCAGAAACTATATAATAGTTAAAACAATTGAGATTAGAGGGATCAATCATCTAGAAACGTTTCGATTAGCGAGCTATGTATTCTATAGTGTCAGCTGTCACTCGCTATCAAAAACAAAGAGAAGTTCTTGCATGAACTAATATAGTTACTTATATTGTCATTTAGAATAAGATACGAATCCGACATAATAGGAACTTCCCCTTAGGTATGGATGGATCTGACATTAAAGTAAAGTTCATGCACTTGGGGCTTTGATTATCCCATACTTACATTTTTGTCAACTTTATGGGGCCATTTTGGCTCTCTGTCTCCAATTCGTAAGAGACTCTAAATTTGGCTCTACCTCTATTTATTAAGTCAAAGAAGAAGAGATACTCTTCAGAGTTCAGACATAGATATATAGTCTCATTTGCTTTTTTTGGCTGAACACAATCAAGAACCATTTCCAATCTCAAACTCGGCATCAAACAAGCATGATGGATGATCATAAAATATATATTTAGTGCAAAACTTAGGCTTGTAAACTATGTTTGGACTGAGCTGAAGAAAAAGCTTCTTGTTACGGCAATATAAATAAAAAAAAAAAGTCAGTTTTTAAAATGTGGAGATGCGGGGTATCGATCCCCGTACCTCTCGCATGCTAAGCGAGCGCTCTACCATCTGAGCTACATCCCCTTTGCTATTAGGATACTAAAATATATATTTATTTCATTCTTGTTAAATACCGGTCCCTCCTCAATATCCTCTATATAAGTCCGAGCGAACGAGCATCTAAAACCCTAACTTATATTTCTTCCTGTTCCTAGTCTCTGTTTCTAAACGCCGTTTTTTCATCACAATCTTAAAATTCTTCTTTGTTTTCAAGCTTTGTTCCTTCATTGAATTGAGTAGTATAGGATTTGGTTGCTGATAGTTCTTCTTTTTTTGGGTTTGTGTTGTTTGCAAGTGACGATTAACAGACAGGGACATCAGAAATTATCTGTGTTGACTATAGTCTTTAATGGGAATCTCTCTGATGCATTAACAAAACTCGTTACTTTCAGTTTTCAAAACAAAACCTTTTTCTTTGTTTTTGATTGGAGTTAAAAAGTGAAAGGCTTTACCAATGATGGAATTCAAATAATCATCAGATCTGATGTGTTATACATACATGATTACAATCTTGACGCTGAGGTAAAGCCTTTGGAATTTTGACATAACCAAATCTTTCTTGTCTGTTTGGTTCAGATATAAACACATATATTGAATCATGTTCTTGAAACAGAGTTACGTTCTTAATCAAATATTCAGATTAAATAACCAAATTCCGAATATTGAAAATTTGAAAGGCACACGATTATCAAAAAATGTAACTCTAGTAACAAGTTTCAGCTAAATATTTGATTGAAACTAAAAAGAATAAAACCTTGGTGCCAAACCAATCACAATGGATACTAATATCTACAAAATCACAAAGAACCCTAATGAAAAATCATCTCTTTTATAGCACCATCGTTTGATATTGCTCCTCTGTTTTATAACCAACGATGCTAGCTTGATGCAATGTTAAAGAACTCATTTTCAGTTCCCCAACCGATGCCAAAGCCGCAAGTTCTTTCTCGTCTAATCCCTTTGCTGGCCCGAGGCTGCATCGTTCGCTACCGTGCTTATCCAACGCTATCTTGAACTTATTGATCTGCAAGAAAAATAGATTTAAGTTGACTGCCAAAATATGCCAATGATATGAAAACAGCAAAATGGTTTGCTTACGGTTGCAATAGTGCAGCTGAAGCTACAGACTTTACCCTCTGCTCCTCTATACAACTTAAAGAAAGGAAGCACATGAACGTTAAGACCATGACACATTGTTCTTAGCTCTTCTTGATTCACTTTAAGAAACATCACATTTGGGTTTGATTCAGCCAATTGACAGATCTGTTATAGTATACAAAACAAACATATCAATACACAAACCAGATTCACTGAAACTATCCAAAAAAACAACACTATTAGTACCTTTGGGTGGAGAGATTTGCAGCCACCACAAGCAGGAGAGTAGAAATCAAGAACAACCAATCTATCTCCAGCATTTAACAAAGAGTCAACTAGATGATTTGCAGATTGAATCTCTAACATGTTGTGATTCGTTGACTTTTCCCACCATCGCATTCCTCTACTCTTACCAATTGATGATGTCTTTGCCTGAAACTAACCCATTTCAATCACAAGCCAAATAGTAATTCATAAAACCACAAAAATTAAGTAACAAAAAGACATGTTTTTTTTTGTTTTTTTTTTTTGCTTACAGGAGTCACAGAGGAAGAAGAGAAAGCGGTTAAGGTTTGGTTGGTGAAATCTGTTGAAACCATGGGATGTTCCTTCAAATCGAGACTCATAACCGGAAAAAGTTTCGATTTTGATGGATTCTCCTGAGAAAATGGAGAAAACCCACAAAGAACATGATTGGTTCCAAGAGATGAAATTGCATCCATGTCAAATCTTGTTTTAAGAAAGCGAAGCAAAAACAATAATCAATGAAAGACTCAGAAATTTGAGATTGGAGGAAATTGAAAATGTGCAAAGATTTTGAATGAGAAAAATCACAAAAAGTTTATCACTTTATTGACCTCTCGATATCAATGGAAGAAAACACTTTGCACAGTTACGCAGAAACTTGTGTGTTTTTAAGACAAAATTGGAATTTACTCGTAGGTGGGGTCCTTGTTTATCCAATTGGATTTTGTTTTGTCTTTATCCATTTTTTCACCGTTGATTTCGTGATTTGTGCTAACTATTAACTCAGTCAGTCTAGTGATTAACGATTGTTGACCAATAATTTAATAACATTAGTCAATAATCTAAAAATCTGAAGATCCGGATTGGGTGTTGTTGCTACGATTTCATGGTTATCTTCATTCTATGAATTTAATGAATGAAAAAAAAAACAGAAAATTTCTCTTTGTAAATGATTTTCTGTTTTTTTTTTCCTTGTGAGAAGGAGCAGTGAAAAAAAAACGTCATTGTCAGCTTCGTCGCATGAAACGTGTTGCTGACTGTGTATGGGGCTTTTCCTCGTTGGACATGGTCACTTAGCTTATACAATGGTATTGCTACTATTGCATAGCAATCCAATTGGAAGATATTATGAAAACAAAAAGAAAAATCAATTTTTGTCAAACATATTATATAAAATTTGATTGTTGTTTGAATAATTGTTATAGAAGAAATTACCATTTTAAAGGTAATCATATACAAACTTTGGAAAATTATTCATTTTATTTTTTAACGTCTGGATTTATTATTTATTGCAAATTATGAGAATTGTTATACAAACGATTCTACAACGGACAATTATTTTTGACCCTTATTAGATCCACGACATACGACACTTCTTTCTTCATGCTTTTGACGGACACCTTCACTGATCCACGACCTGATGACACTTCATTCTCTACGTAGAATTTTGGCGAACGACTATAATTCATGCACACTTGCCTCCATTAATCTACAAATTTGTTAATAAATCGCAGTATCTGGGACTCGAACCTTATACCTCTTGGTATAGAAACATTAATAATCTCTTTAAATTAATAAATTCTTTCGGTCCCGAGTTGGGACAGTGTAAAAAATGACACAAATCGATAAATTAATATGATAATATTTTTTCTAAAAATCTTATATAAACATATGGTCCTATCAATTTCATAAATTAATAATTGTATAAACTTATCAATATATATATATATATATATGTATATTTAACTTAATATATATTTAAAATATTATATGTAAAATTTTGAATGAAATATGATTCCCTTATTCGAAAAAAGTTTGTGTTATTTTTTAAACTTAATAATTGCTTCTCTACATGAATTGGTTTTAAAAATATATTGCTTATAAATAAATAAATAAACTTTCTTTTAGATAGAATTTTTTTAAGAAATTAAAAAATTAGTAAAATCTCTCTAAAATTAAGAATTATTAATTTATCTATAAATTAATATCTTTCTAAATTAATAAAATTTGCAGGTCCCAACATTATTAATTTATAGAAGTTTTACCGTAGTTTTAAATGGGATGTAGATCTTATCCTAAAATAAATGTTTGTTACTGAGTCACACTCAGTTTTCCTTTTCTGTATTTCATTAAATTTTGATTTGTTTGCATTATCCATTATCAGATATTGTTGACAAAAAAAATAATGATAATGCAGCCCACAGTTTTATCATGGATTTGTCAGTAAAAATATGGTCCAAATAGAATCCAAAAGCGGGCCACAGGATTTTAATCCAAAACAATGCCTAGAAACTATGGGCAAAATTGACTGCAAATCATTGCAAAGTCGCTAAACATTGCTATCAATTCCATAATTTTACAAACTAAACTAAAAAAAAAAACAGACAACGATATATTGTATATGGATTTTTTTATCGTCTACAACTTATACACATCCATATTATCGAGTTTGAATCTAAGTTATGTATGCTAGCAACACTAATACAAACCATTCCACTCGAATTTATTTCTATTCTAAGACTGTAAATAACAAATTTTTATCATGTTTAGTGCTATTGTACATACAGTTAATCCTGTTATTGACTATATGATTGACTGTTGATTTGATCATTCGGCTCCAAGTATCACCGTATCCTTAAGCACTTCGACTGAAGCCCACAGTTTGGAGCCCAACGTCATGCAAATTGGTCAATAAGGTATCACCATAAAAGCTAGCTCTCCCTTAATCTGTATATTAATATGGTTGCTTTATCCGAGTAAGAAATTAAACGAGACTGGCCCTTTGGGCTGTGGCCCATATACATAACATTGATTTACATCAAATACGTCCGATAACCATTACCCTAACAAAAATCATAATACACTTGAATACTGTAGTTTAGTTTTCGGTTCTTTTGAACGAAACTATTACAGTGAAAACAATTGACGATTAAATTAGTTAATTACGTTTAGAAACAATTATTAGCCGTTTACATCTGAATTTTTTACTAATCGTCTCTTCAACATGTAGACACGTGGCCATTCACCTAAATTTCGGGTGTTAGGAAAAAAGATGACGTCGCAGATTTAAATATAGGTTAAGTTGACTACAACAATACAAAAATCACAAAATCAAAGGCTTACGATTAGCGAAGAGACCGGAAGGTGTTTGCCAATCGATGGCATATTGATACGTGGTTTTGTCTTAGTGGATATTTTCCTTAAATAGAAATATTAGTAGCTTTCTTACCACCTAATTTGCAACATTTTCTATAAGCAGATTTTTTATTTTATCACACTGCCAAATTTTTCATTTGATCTCGTTCTCTCCTCTCACTATGACATTATTTTTTAATCAATTTAAAATATTATCAGACTAGTTTGACATTTTGTGACTAGTTCTATTTTTCTAATTAGGCGGAATTTTATTCGTATATTATTTTAATTTCTTTTATAAATAATATGTTTATTTTAGATGTATTAGTTTTTTAATGCGAATAATACTGTTAGAGTCGATGAAGAAGCGAAGCGTAGATAATCTTCTTTTTAACTATGTGATATACATAATTGTGAGTAATGCAGTGTCACTCTGATTTGGCTAAAGCCGCTAAACTAATTAAAGTGCTAGGATAAGTAAAGTAAATAAGAAAAGTTGTAGGGAATATGCTACTACAGTATATATATTCTTTTTGTGATTTAGGTCTATACGTGAGCTCCATTTTTTAGTTACTTGTAGTTAACTGTATAATCAATTGATAAGAGGCGCCATCTTGTGTGTATTATGTAAATTTTTTTTAATGAAAAAGTGTATTTTCTGCCAACACCTTATAAAGACAAGAGATCATTTGTTTTTCATATATCCATATTCTCTAAATGTGTTGCAGAAACTCGTAACAGGGGTTATCCTTTCTAATTTCACGGCAAACTAGAAGGATATACTTAAGCTGATCAACGACAACGGTCTTGACAAGACAAAGTCTTTTATACTAAGGTACTTCTTTCAAAAACAGTTCACTCCATTTAGAGAGAAAGGAATAACATATGATACAGCGAGGAACCATCTCTAAGTGAAAAGCTAGTAGTAAGAATGATTGATAAAAACATTTAGAAATGGCTAAGCAAAATGAAGGATAACTCTGTTTTTCAATTGTATCTTTAAAAACAATATGCATTAAGTTGTAAATAAGTTAATTCTTTTGTTTGAATATAATTTAACTCTAAATTAAAAAAAAAAAAGATGTTACTTTTGAGTATATGGATATAACAATAAACATTTGCAATAGACCTTGTCCCTCCAAATTTCACTGTATTTGCTTAAAACATATTTATATACATGTGAGAGGCAAAAGGCGTGATATCGTGCTAATACGTGCATCCCGCAAATATCAGAACGAGTTATCTAACCTAAACTTTGATTAGGGACCACTCAATTGGTTAGAAAAAAAATTATTACTTTTAATTTGACTATCAAACATTTTTGTATCGTGACCATACTAACTAGTACCAAAAAACTTGAATATTTTGTGGAATAACCTTAAACACATACCCAAATGATAAAAAAAAAAAATGAGCAACAAGACGAAATTATTTGTCTAAAATAAAATATATTTGATGCAATAAAACTAAATGTGGTGTAAAATGAATCGAATTAATTTTAAAGACGATAAGATATTTAACCTTAGTATGTAATTTTTAGTCATTGGTTATTGAAAATTCTTACATTTCATACTTACATTGTTAGAATACTTTTATTTAGACTTTGAATGATTGTGTAGAATGATACAATCTAGACTAAAGTTTGACCAATCCGCACGTAATTCACCATTCATTATTACGGACCACTATGCACTATTATAGGCTAAAAATCTCCATACCATTTATTAGTTTTTTTTTTTTTCATTTTACTCCCCAAAAATTTCATACTATTATAAATTTCATAACAACATACATTTGCCTGCTTCATACTACAATCTATCGTTTTACTTACCAAAATATTGGTATGCATGATCCGATTCCCAACATATAGACTAACCATTCAAAACTTTATAATTCTCAAATTTCATACTTATTTACTAAAATACTCTTATGTAAACAGTATCTAGGTGGCCAAAAGAAACGTCAATTAACACATAAATAAACTCGTAGCAATATAGATTTCTTTCTAAAGTTTTAATTTTCTAATTGTTTTGGTTGTAAAAGAAAAATATCGCGGGATAGTGAAATGTAAACCGAGTGCCAATCCTAATTGTTTGGTGAAACTCAACTATGCAAATGATGATAAATGGAGATATTTCTCAGGCTTATTTTCCAAATTTTATTAATTTTCTTAATATATGTTTAAATATAGCAAATGGAAAATAAACATTGGCGCTGCCTAATGCTTCCGAATTTTGTTTCTTACCAATCTATATATACATTTTTGGAACACTTTTAGCAAATAAATCCTGGGGTTGGGGAGTATTTACAAAGAATGCCATTGGCTTTAATTCTAACAATTTGAAAATTTAATAAAAGTTATTAACAATTTAGATCCTAAATTATCTCTTACAACTTATCTTTCCATACCTATATATTCACTCATTTCCTAATTGCTATTTAAAAAAAAAAATTAATGCTAACGTTGCTAAAAAAAAGAAGCTAATCTTTAAATTCTGTTTATTTATGCTAAGGTTTATTTATTTATTTTAATTTTGTTTTTTAGATTCTGTATTTTTTTAAAGGAGTTTATGTATAGAAATAATTAAACAAACGATGAAATCTGATTTAATATGATTTGGAACTTTGGCTTCTCATTTAAATCAATTTTTAAAGTAAAAAATAAAACAAATCTTAAAGATTTAAATGTGTATATACGACTCTTTTTTTCACCAAAAAAAAAACTTTTTTGTTCAAAAACTGTGTATATAAAACTTACTTGCATATATATTAGAATTAAATAAAAATTTCTACTAAATCATATTTTACATTTTCACATAAAAGACAATCTATCTAGAGTATAAAAATCTTTGAGCACGTGAATATTCCAAATGTTGGTGCATTTAAAAGACTTTTTGTTTAATAAAAAAAATAATTATTAAAGTTTCATTTTACAATAATAAAAATTTAAAGATATTTTTAATATTAAAATAAAATCTAAAATTATACTATGTAAAAAATTTATGATATCGTAGTATTGGCAATATACAAACCAATTTTTTTTTTGAACCGTTTATCTATTAAAATTACCTATTTATAAGTACATAATAAATAACTTTAATTGGTTGAAACTTTTGAAAATAGAGTATCCTTTTTTTCAATTGTAATAGCTTTTAATAATTGAGAAAGTAAATGACACCAAATATATTTAAACAAACAATATATGATCATCTTTTATTTAAAAAATATTGTATATCATTGAAATAATAAATTATGTTTTTAATATAAAATGTTATTCAGCGGTATACCGTTATGTGGGTTAATTATTATCCACATTTAGACATATAAATAATATTAAATTCTTAAAATAATTTATAATATACATAAATTAATCATCAAAACTTAAGTTTTTTTTTAATTAATATTATTTTTATTATAAATATTATTATTATATTATTATTATTAGTTATCATATTATAAATATGAAGAGTGATACCGACAAAACTTAAATTACCATAAACTTAAGTTTTTTTAATTAATAATAGTTTTTTTAACTTTAAATATATTTTATAAATAAGAAGAGTGATACCAACAAAAAGAAATTAGAAAAATGGATTTAGTAAAATGGCCGCAAGTCTTGTGAAACCAAGCAGGGGGATGCAGGGGGATGCAAGCATACTATATACTTTTGCGGGTTTGTAGAATGTTTTTTTGCGGGTTAAAAATCTTTAAACCCGTTGTGGGACAGACCTAGCATAGCGGGTTTGAACTATCAAACCAACAATAAAACTATTAACTTATTGATTTATGTTTTGGATTTGTAATCATGGTGTGGAATTAATTAAGTTACAAATGATATCCATATTTATTCTACAAACTACAATATATTACACAAACTAACACCTTCTTACTTTTAAAACAACTACTTTTAATTGACAAATTTCTAAACAAAAATATTTAGTTTGTATATGCATCAAACAAACAAAAATACACTAACCTACCATATATCTCTATATTATTCTACAAAACAGATTAAATCTAGAATTTTATATTTTATCCAATAACAAATTTAATATAATAAAATAAACACATTTAAGTTATAAACTATAAGTTTAAAACATAAAAAAACATGTGTTTCGTACCACGGGTCCAAACAAAATGATAAATTAGTTAGACAAAAAATAAATAATTGAAAATTAAAAAACCAAGTAAACTGAAAATCATTATCTAAAAGTTTGTCATACGGTGTACTGCCGGTTAAAATTCCGTGATTTTGATGGGTCAGGTCAAAATCTTATTCTATAAATATGTAGCCATATAAAGCTAAATAATACTATCTTTAACTATAAGAGTTACATCTTATTAAAAATCATATACGATCAATATGTTTTATATATATAAACATTCACATCAATAATTTTTTAAAAAAATCACCGCGGGTTCAACTCTAGTTAATGTTATTACAACCAAAATAAAAACTAACAAAGAAATCTCTACTTAGCAAAACAAAATAAATCTCTATAACTACGATTTTTTCCCAAAAATATTTACATGAAGAAACGAGGACAATTGTTGCATAGCTAAACTGATATGAAAAAATACCCTCGAGTATTTTTCCAATATTTGTAATATCTTTGAGTTGATAAACAATAAACTTTTAAATTGATCTAAAATAAAAATATTATTTTTCTTTTATCGAATATATAATATGTAATATTATGTAAAATGGCCGACACCATTTTCATATTAAGCTGTGGAATCCGTCGTATATTTTTCTGGAATATATACAGATCGCACATGTAAAATATTTTAAAAAACTAATTGGATTCTAGGCGAACATCCACCCTGAACACCTTTTTATTCATAAATAAATGTCAATTTATGGTACCAAAATCAAAATATGTTAGTAATGCACCGAACGCACTTCACTCTTAGAAATAGAAACTCTTTATAAAAATCTATGTATTTAATCTATTTCTTTGACCTTTTCTAGTGTTTTTTTAATAACAATTAAACTTTGACGAATAAGGTAACAAGATTAAATAACCAATAAAAGTACCAGCAGAAACATCATTTGTCAATCATGCCTTCTTGATTCTTCTTTTAGAAAGAGAGTTTTAAAGTTAAATATATATTTTATGCTATAACATTACTATCTGACATATTAAATTGGTACTGAGTCATCTATATTTCAACTTTTTATTATTCTTATTTGCTAACAAGCACAGACTTCCTTATTAAAATTCTAATCTGTTTGATCACAAAAGTGGTTAGATATGGTTACTGAAAAAATACACAATGGTAAGGGAAGTCATACAAAGATCATTTATTTATTTAAGAACATCAAATTTATCCATTACGGAGAAATGAAAGAGTTTATTTATTGTTATTGTTTTACAAGATATATAGGTGAATTTCAATGAAAGTCGGAAAATGTTTATACGAGAAAATAACAACATTATTTATTATAGTCAAAGATTTTAAAATATAAACTGAATTAAGTGTGTTACAAGATATAAACTCTTTTGCTAATCACTGAATTAAGTGTTTCCACCATACATATTCAAAACCATATAGTTACTCTGAAACTTATTTTTCTAAGCATTGTCATTATTCATTGTATTGCTTAACTGACGTAATAAAGTTATAGATCATTCTTTGTATTTTTCAGTACAATTATAGTAACGGCCATGCTTAATGCATTAGATTCAAAGAATTTCCATTCTCTTGTTAATTCACAAACGATTATACAGCATATATTCTAGCTCCTATAACGATCCAAAAAACAATTTTTTTTTTTTTAAAGGTCTGATCATTTATTTTTCAAATTGAATTATTTTCTACGAATATTTAAAAAGCTCAGAAAAAAAGTTTTGTAAAAGGGGAAAGGGCTAAAACAACCTACCCAAGTTGCGTTACACACTACGTATCTTTCTCCTCACACAAAAAAATTGGGAAATAATACTCTTTTTTTTTCTTCTTCCAAATTCTTAAAAAAACAAAATTATCGTTTTGACGTAATTTTCTTAAAATTAAGAAAATGAAATATTGCAATTTTGTTTTTCTCGACACCTTCAGAGTTCCAGACTTTATAGTTCCATTTGGCTCTTTTCCCTTTATATTTTCCTCTCCATCTTCCTAACCTTTCTCCCTAACTTCTCTGTTCATCTTTTTCCTCTCTATTTATAAATTTATTTACATAGTATTCCTTGGATCCATCTCTTCAAAAAACCTTTCAAGATCAAATCAAGAAACCCACACAAGTTTCTAAATCAGAAAAAAAATTTAAGTTTTGGTTTCAATTTTAAGGGTTTAAGGTTTCTTGGGAAAGAAACGATGGAGACTTTTTGTGGGTTTCAGAAGGAAGAAGAGCAGATGGATTTACCTCCAGGGTTCAGGTTTCATCCAACAGATGAAGAACTCATAACTCACTATCTCCATAAGAAGGTTCTTGACATCAGCTTCTCAGCTAAAGCTATTGGTGAAGTTGATTTAAACAAATCGGAGCCATGGGAGTTACCATGTATGTTTTCAAGATAACCATGATTTCAAGTTTTATCATTTTTTTTGTTTGTCTTCTTCTTGAGACCTAATGTTGTTGGAAGATTGATTTTTTGTATACAGGGATGGCAAAAATGGGTGAGAAAGAATGGTATTTTTTCTGTGTGAGAGACAGAAAGTATCCCACCGGTTTAAGGACTAACCGAGCAACTGAAGCCGGTTATTGGAAGGCCACCGGGAAGGATAAAGAGATATACCGAGGCAAATCGCTTGTTGGGATGAAGAAGACACTTGTTTTCTATAGAGGAAGAGCTCCTAAAGGTCAGAAAACCAACTGGGTGATGCATGAGTATAGGCTTGAAGGAAAATTATCCGCCCATAACTTGCCGAAAACCGCAAAGGTTAACCCGAAAACCCAACAATTTACTCTGTTTTCCTTTTGTTTACTAACTTTCTTTTTTTTTGTGGGTTTTGCAGAACGAATGGGTGATATGCAGGGTGTTCCAAAAGAGTGCTGGAGGGAAGAAGATCCCGATTTCGAGTCTAATCCGAATTGGTTCACTTGGAACCGACTTTAACCCTTCGCTTTTGCCCTCTTTAACCGATTCTTCGCCTTACAATGACAAAACCAAAACAGAACCCGTCTACGTGCCCTGCTTCTCCAACCAAACGGATCAAAACCAAGGAACCACACTCAATTGCTTCAGCAGCCCTGTTCTTAACTCGATCCAAGCCGACATTTTCCACAGGATTCCACTCTATCAAACTCAGTCTCTCCAGGTTTCCACGAATCTACAGAGCCCGATTCTCACGCAAGAACACTCAGTTCTACATGCTATGATCGAGAACAACAGAAGACAGAGTCTCAAAACGATGAGTGTCTCACAAGAAACCGGAGTTTCGACTGACATGAACACTGATATCTCATCGGATTTTGAATTCGGTAAGAGACGATTTGATTCTCAAGAAGATCCATCTTCCTCCACAGGACCGGTTGATCTTGAACCTTTCTGGAATTACTGAAGAAGATTCAAGAGTCACATGCCCATTAATTTACTGTCAACGAAAGTAAGAAGACTTTTTTCACCTTTTAGTGTGGTGTGTTAAAGTTTGTATAGATTATTATCATCTCAACTTCCACTATTTATTATACTCAATTTAAAGAAACTTAAAAATATGATTTGATATTTGACCAAAATATTACACTATACAATTTGATACTCGTTAGAGAGGTGAGTCTATTGGGTATTTACTACATACATGTATATCCTAAGTCCTAACAGTCTATTGGTTAAATTTCACCTTTTGTCATCAGTTTTTTTTTTGGTATTTTGACATTTGAAGTTGAAGGTCTTAAATGTGAAAGTCATTCTTTTTTTTTCTTCTTTGACATCCTTCAGTAGAAAAAAGGAGTATATTATAATATTACTTGGTGTATTTGAATGAAAAGAATATGCACTTGCCTATATTGTTCAAATAGATCCATATCTCTAGTTAAGAGATGGTTTATTTTTATTTTATTTTATTTTTTATTTTTATTTTATTTTATTTTTCTCTCAAAGCTGTTTTGTACCTGTACGATGTTCATAATTAAATGTATATTTTAGAACTTTCATCTTGTTAGTCAAGAATTGAGATATCACCGTCCCTCATTGCAAAAATTTGAGTTTTACGCCAATTATCACTAAATATTTAGGTTTTCATCTAGGAAAATGAGACTGGTTTCTAACAAGCAGCAATAACATTTTAACTTCACATTATAGTAATTGTAATAAGTAATAACCAACATTTTGAGCTTTTTTATTTTCTAAATATCTATTAGTTAGTTTCGTTGTTAAATTAAAAACTTATATAGATTTTTTGTAAAAACGTATGAAATACTTTCGGAATTACTTTATCTTTACTTAATTAGATGATTTTTTTTTGGTAAGTTTTACTTAATTAGATGATAGTGTTAATTTAGAAATTTTTTTACTAAAATTTATTAATTATTCAGAAATTAACATATTATTAATTTGATTGGTAAGTGGTTTTGGAGAACAAATAAATGTTTCAGCGTTCCTTTTCTACACCTTTGCTTTCATTATAGATGTCAAGAGATATATATTCTATTTTAGCTGCTTGTTAGAAACCAGTCTCATTTTCGGCTTAACAGGTAGAAAGTGTAGAATATCTCAACTTTTACTAAGAAGACACTTCAAATTTGAATTTTCTACTAGTGATATATTGTAATTTAGAGCAAAAAAAAAAGAGAATAAGGTATAGTATATTCATATATTCATTCCTTATGTGGTTTATTAAAATTTTGGGAATGTATAAAGTGAAACACAATTTCCATGAACATTAAAACCTTAATTCACGTAACGTATCAACTAGTAGAGTTTCCAAAGTATCTCATTTCTTCTATATAAAAAAAAACATCTCATTTCTAATACTACTCGAAAATTATGTGAAGAGAAATTAAATTAAATATAGAAAAACATAATCTGGTTAAGTTTACAATAACATAACATATATTGAGATCATATTCTCAAAAATAACATTTTGAAGTAATTATACTAACCTAATAATCTATGCATATATAATTCTGGTAAGAACAAACTTCTTTAAGAAAGCTAAAAAAAGAAAAAAAAAAGAAAAAAAAAAAAAGAAAGCTATAATAAGTAAAGTTTGTAATGTATATACTTAGCACATCTCCTGTATCCCTCTTTCATTCGTCCCATGACGAATCTATTCCGTTATAAAGCTGTCATGCGTGATGCTTGAAATTTGTGTGTATTGTCTATATTTATTACGTAGCACAACTTTTCTATTTCGTATATTCTTTTTTCTTTTTTAGCCGTTCGACATATCATGTATTCTTAACCTCCAATATATAATATAATTATATATAAACTATGTATAAAACTAGTGATGACTATGTTATGAACTCAGTCGTCAAATTAATCAATTACCGTTTGGCTCAAACCTTTAAGAACTCTTCCTATATTTTTGAAATCTTTTTAGAAAACTATAATATTATTAGAACTAAACTTTAGCTGTGTTATTATGTTATTGTTCAAATTCTGATTATTTTTTCGTTTCATTTGGTAAATTTTAATGGGTGATGATCAGATACATGCTCAATCTCAATGTCATCAAAAACAGTCACCAAATCCAGTATACAAAACTAATAATAACTCTGCGAAGCTCTATGTGGCTGTAATGGTGGACACTGATGTTTATTGGAAGGTATCATACAACGATATGATTTAACTCGGATGAAAAATTAGAATCTCTATCATTTTATTTTATGACACATTTTGAATTACCAAACAAAAGGCAAGGAGAAGTGATAGAGGCACGTGATGGTATGATCATAACTAGAAATGAAATAAATTGAGTCCCACACGACATATCCTTAACACATCTTTTTTTAACATTTCTCTTTTTCTTTTCAATTGTTTTTTTTTTCTCATTTCCCCTCAACCGTTTTATCTTGTTTTCCTATTGATTTTTTTCTTTCCCCTTTGGTTTAGTTCTTTATATGTATTGTTCTCCAAAAAAAATGCATTGTTCTTGTTATATTCTAAGTTAAATTTTGTAATACTTCAATTTTTTTTGATAAAATAATGGTGGATGCGAGATGCTTACAAAAGTTGATTTGATCATTCATATCAACAAAAGTACTAGTTATTTTCTAGAAGTTCTTTTTGAAAAAAAAAATTGAAACACAAAAAAAGAGAGTAAAAGTGATTTCTTCTTATACAGTCGAAAAGAAGACAAAACATGACAAGAAAACATGTTATGATCTGCAGCAGAAGGAAAACATTTGTTGAGAAACAGAAACAAAACATTTGAATATTCTATTATCAATTGATTTTGTCAAGAAGTTTTTTTGTCGATAATTTACACAGAGCATATATTGAATCTCACACACACATATACAAATGAATTACTAATTAATACCTTTATAACCATCGTTTTTAGTATTTAATTACCAAAACTGTTTTTAGCCAGTTACCAAACCCAAAGGAGGGTTGGATTAAAAATTTGTATTTTTCTAATTAGGGATGCGTATATTTATTTAAGATGAACTTGAAATCATACGTACAAAGTTAATTGCGGGTTTTACATGGATACGTATAACCACGTTTCGTAATTAGATGTTAATTGTTCACCAGTTTATTTCCACTTACAAGACAAATGTTCGTCCTTCTTTCGTCATACTCTAATAATATGACTTCCTACGAAAAAAAATCAAGAGCTCGGTAAAAAAGAGTGATCTACCTGATATTTTTCTTAACTTTGTTTTTTTTTCTCAAAAAAGTAAACTATAAATTACAAGAACTATTTTCATTTATGATTTTAATTAATTGATTGCGAAAAAGGTTTCGCTTTGGACTTAAATAGTTATGGCCTTATGGGTCTACTGGTCCGAGAATTCTTAGGTTTTTAAGGACTGTAGTTATTAAATTAATTTTCCAAAACTAGAAACTTAGTTTTGTTAATAATTTTAAATAATTCTGTGATTTCTAAATTACTCACAATTATTCTAGATATGTTCACTGTTTGTTTTGAGAACCCCAAAAATGGGAAATCTTGAACTAGAGTCAAACGGTATTGAACCAAAATACTAAAATGCTAACAATCAGGGCCGGTTATTGGCATGTGCAAGTGGTGCATTTGCACCGGGTCCAACAAATTTAAGGTCCAAATTCATAGTTTTTCTATTATTTAATTATTTAATTATGCTGAAATTTTATAAAATATCTATATGTAAAAGTCCCAAAATTTTATTTTAAAAGGTAATATTGAGGCCCAAAATTAATAAACAAAAATAATATGTCCAAATAGCTATAAAATACAAAATAATTTATGAAATATAACTTTTTGTAAATATATATATATATAAAATTTTTATTAAAGATAAGATTTTTTTTTGTATGGCACCGGGTCTTACCGATGAGTGAGCCGGGCCTGCTAACAATGTATTTTCATGCTGGTAGTGGTAAGTTTACGAGGTGGGCAATTGGGCATTAGCATCGCACAGTGTCTTCATGCAGCTAAGTTCATGAAAATAATAATAATAACTCTTAACGTATAGAATAGGTCCAGTGAAGGCCCAATATGACCCAGAAACTGGTACATTTATTATACTCATTGTTATTATCTACAATCAAATCTGAGTATCAATTTGAAAGACATTTTATACTGCAAATGCAAATCCAAATGCATAATCTTTCGCTTAAGACTTGCAGATTGAAAGACAAATTATACTGCAAATGCACCAATTAAGAACTAGACAAGAAGTTACTAAATCTAATTTATTATATTCCTATAAGCTACAAATAAAAGTTTTTAAGAAATAAAAATCAAAAATAAATAAAATATATATATTTTTTGAATAACTAAGAGGTTCTAAGCCTATGTCCATACATTATTTCAGACCATAAACCAGAGCATTTTATATGGTATTTTCTCAAACGTCATTCAAACCGACGACTTATAAACTTTACTTGAAAATCTGTACCAATTGAGTTATTGACAATTATAATAAACAAAATACTTTCTTAAAGTGATGATCGTCTGACCTCTTCCTATTTTCCTTTTGTACTTGGATCGATATTTTGTTTGAGAGATAAGATAAAAATCCAATATAGACCACAGTCATCTTGTGATCTCATGAACAAACCTACAAGTTAATTTTTATTATAAGAAAAAATCGAAATCCCAAATATATATATCTTCTTTCCAATGGCGTAAGGTAGAAAACAAAATTGACGTAAGATAAACATTTATGTATTTTAGGAAAAAAAAAAAACAATATATTACATTTTTGGGAGACTCACAAAAATGCCCCTTTTTCAATACCCCTTTTCAAAAATGCCTATTTTGGCTGTCAATTTTTAAAAATACCCCTTTTTATATACAAAATGACTAAATTACCCTTATTTTAATAAAAGATATCACAAATATATAAAGAAATATAACAAAATTAGGTTAACAAAATACAAAATATTTTTTGCCGGGAAAAGTGATCCCTCAATTTTTCCCGCCAAAACACTTGTAAAAAACCTTTAAAATACCTTGTAAAATTTTCCCGTAAAATTTTTTTCCGCCAAAAAATTTTCCCGCCAAAAATTTTTTTTTGCGGGAAAAGTGATTCCGTAATTTTTTTGGCGTTAAATTTTTGGC